TCAACCATACTGGACAGGTCTCATCAGAGGAGCCAGATGAAGAGTGCCTCTCCCATAAACAGTATGATGAGACGTAATTTACAGAAACCTATATTGGATCAGTCATTGCCTGGGTCAACAAGGACCGCACTAAGTGTTCTAGTTCTGGACATCTGGTGACAAGTGGGCTATAGGACTCAAGACTGTTGGCTGAGCAACCAGGGCCAGCAGATATAGGACTACTGGAAGAAAAGTTGATTACCTGTCGCAAATATGCAAAGACTGAAAACAAATAATGATCTGCTATTACAAATCAAGTCCAATGAGAAGAGGATATCTGAAAGAGTGCACCAGTTCTGGAAAGAACAACATCTAGAATCAGAAATGACAGAACAGAGGCTAGCAGATCAATGTTGATTTATTATATGAAATAAAGTATTCACAGAAGTAGAATTGGAAGAACTACAAAGGTCTACCTAGGGGAAAGAAACCGAAGCCTTGCCAGAAATAGCTCAGATGGTAGAGGCAAACCGGGGGAATCGGCAGTAGAGGAAGCCAGCATAGCGGTTGAATCGTTTTCATCCCCAAACCAGGCACCCTCTCCTCTGCCTTCTCAGAAAGAACAAAGCTCTCTAACTAAAGAACAAGAGAAATTGAAATAAAGAATAACTGAGCGTCTAGAACAGCACAAAAAGAAAAGAATAAGGTTCCCTGCATTGAAGCTTGTTATAAAGAAACAGCTAGCACAAGTATTAAAAGATGCCAATATTGTGATATTATATATAAGCACCAGATCACTGCAAGAAACAAACCAACTAATGTACAGCACTGCTGCAGTTATAACTGAATACTTTGGATGCAAAATGAACCAAAAAAAAAAAGCCAAACAGTGCACCGCCAAAATGGAAGATCAGGTTGGAAAATAAGATCAGCATGCTAAGATGAGATGCAAGCAAGCTAGAATAGATGAAAGAAGCAAGAAAGCTAAAGAAAAAACCAATGAATACCTGATCAAGAAATATCACCTAGAAACAAGAAAGATCAAGGAAGCACTGGAAATAATAAAGCAGCATATAACAGTCATAGACAAGAAGATCAGCAGATACGAAGCTCGAATTGTACACTATAGGCAGAATCTCCAATTTCGGTCGAATCAGAAACGTTTCTATCAATCCATCAATGGAGAGACTGCAGTGAACCAGTCAATACCTGACAAAGAAGAAT